CCCCAAAACCCCAAAACCCCAAAACCCCAAAACCCCAAAACCCCGTTTTGGAGGGGAAGGTTTGAAATTAGGGTAAAATTTAAATTAATCTCTGGCTTTTTGAATATGAAGTCAGCAAGAGTACATCTTCGAAGTAGTCAAGGTAAGAGTAACAGTGAAGAATTGTGTGTTGTATATTGTTGTACTAAACTTAAAGAGGTAGAATTACTCCAAGATTACTAAAATGATTTTAAATGAAAAAAATTTATACTTTTGATCTTGTTAAGCCATGAGACTTCTTTCTCAGAATTAGAAACCCTTGATAACACACAATTTAGATGATAATCTCTGAAGGATACCACTTAGAGACTGCCGAGATTATACCAATAGAAAGAAAATCCAAAGAATCATGAGTCCACATTCTGAACTGGTAAATGAAAAATGTCCATGTAGATAAATAATGCTTTAGAGCGATTCAGCAAGTTTTGAATTTCCTCTGAAAGAGAATAGAAACTGTCTTAAAAAGGTGAGCAATGTACTTCTCTTTGTTATAAAATAGAAGGAGATTTAAATAAGATTTCATTGATACAACTCAATTTATCTCATAATCTCAATACAGAAAATTCAAAGAGATCAAAGACCAAAGACTCATAGGAACAAAGACGAGCTTCGTAAAATAACAGAGTTTACAGTGAACATTCTTAATAATCGATTGGAAGAAGCTAAGGAGACATCATCCCGCCTCTCTACCGAACAACAGCACCTCCAAACCCTCCACGCCTCCGAACTAGCTCACCTAAAATCCCACTTATCAGACCTCGACCTCGCAGCAGCCTGCCTGCACGACCAAAACCAGCACCAGAAATCGCAGATCTCAAGTCAGCACCAGGCTGAACTCTGTTCGATAAAGGCTCATTATGATAGAATACTTAGTGATCCTCACAGAGAGAAATAGTAAGCACCTCTAAATTCTATCAGACCCATGTATAATCCCAGAGAGCTCTCGTATAAGTCCTCAGATGATGAGTACCCCTATTTCTCACCTTTAGACACTATTGATACTCTATTGCAAGTCCAGCGCACTCAGATAGAAGACCTTAAATAACCAAGAACGAGAAATGATCTCTGGGTATGAAACTGAAAGGGTTAAAGAAGGACGAATCCACCAGTGTGAGTTTAGAGGGATTAATAAGTGTAGTAAAAACATGAATATCAGAGCTAAAACAAAAACTTAAAGGTTTCGCAGTCAGCCCGGTCAAGAGCAAAAATTCTAAAATATGCAAAAATGCAACTCAACAATCAAAACCAAAACATAAAAATTCTCTAGGGGTAGTGGTGACCAATCCAAGTAAGGACATGATAGCATGGAATGAACTAATTGAGAAAGAAAAGAGGAAGACAGATAAATTGAGAAAGAAAATAATCACAGCAAAATATAGTATGATTACATTGTAAACTTTAGAGAGAAATCAGGCCAAACAGTGACTGAAAGAGATCAAAGGAGTTAATATCATGCTCCAGAAGAGTTTTAATGAGCTCCAGAGAACTGTGTCTGGCCGACCTTGATCAAAAGGAAGGCCAAAGTTGAGGTAAATTGCATAAAATAATTCCTATATGCTTCGTTAAGAGAGGGGTTTTGGGGTTTTGGGGTTTTGGGGTTTTGGGG